CCTTTACCTAGTTTCATCACTTTTACTCCGACGAAGGATTAAAGTCCGAAACGTCAGTAAGTTACTTCACCTACTTTTTTACGGTGTTTAATTTATCTTTTTACACAACTGTTTCTTTAGAAACACCGACGCAGCTCACACTAGTTTACCGCTAGTTTCCACCATTTTGTTAATACCTACAGGTGAATTGCAAAAAGTAATCAAGCTGCCAATGGCAACATAACTCGAAGATTGATTGTATAGACGAATTCGGAACAATGAATCAAGTATATTTTAAGTAAACGATTTACGAATTTTTTTTCGTTAAAATCTTATTATTTTAACTTCGGTTATGGCGATAAGTTGCCTCCTTAAAGCAGACATCCCAAGCGGTTCGATTCTCGTGCTTACGGAGGTTAGCGAGCGTCGGCGAAATAAATGTCAGTCTTAGCTCATAGATATAGTATGCGATTAAGAAATTTGGCAACGTAGCTCAGTGGATGAAAACGTGGTCTTTGAGTGCAGACGGCCCCGGTTCGAGTCCCAGGAAATAATCTTTTTTTTTTTATTATAAATTATTTTTCCCAGCAATTCTTTTAAGAATGCTTACTATGTAACGGCGAATTAAATGAAAGTTGGTTCGATTGAATCCCGACCAACTGTACGGCACCATTGTACTACGAGTGTTTGCCAGTTTCCGTAGCGGAAAGTATTATCGATATCTAACCACACAATAAACTATATATCAAATATTACAATGTAATAGTACGTTAGCGAGTGAATACATTTTTTGAATCGTAGACGAACATGGATAAATAAAACATACGTAAAGTGGTTTTCGAAAGGAACTAGACGCTCTGGGAGCGTGAAGGCGGATTAGCTGCTTGTGAAAATTGAGAAAGACAGGATATTACATAGGCTCAGTCTCCAGCCGTCGGGATTTCGTGCGCCCGCGATACTCTCTCCCCTGACGGCTGGGCGCATGGGGTTCGAAACGTGTCGCGCATGTCCGTGACGTTTTTGTGTAATTAACATATTATGACGTAACGGAAGTGAATTTTTCAGTGAACGGAAGTGAAATATCTGACAACAGCCGTAAAGGTTTTGCTACAAGGCGGGAAATTATGTGAAATGAAAACTTCGCGAAGTAGCGATATAATGTAATAGTTAGCGCTTTAAAAAAGAGAAAGGAATGGAAATTACCCCAAGTAAAACATGTGCAGGGTTTAATAATCCAAATGAATGTATTATCTGCCAGAAAAACGAGCAAAATACACTAGTGGCGCTGTTTGAAAAATAAGAGATTTGCCCGAGCCAGTATAGGAAGAATAACATGCAAGGACATCTTTTCCAAGAACAATCTCTTTAAGATCCTTTTGCTGTATTTCTCTAAGTTCGTCCAAGCTAAACGACTTCAGAGCCTTCAAACAAGCACTTTCAAAGAGAATCTCAAACGACGAATTGTACGCCATTTTGTTACACTGCTGCCTGCTAATTTATTAATGATATTGGTCAAGACTGACAATAGCGAACCCCATGCGCCCAGCCGTCAGGGGAGAGAGTATCGCGGGCGCACGAAATCCCGACGGCTGGAGACTGAGCCTAGGTATTACATGGATAAAAATATTTCTTAACTTTTTTTCCCAAAACAGCCAAACTCACGGTCTAATAAGAGCGTCTAGTTCAAAATATGCAAAATTTATTGAGACTTTAAATAAACTTGACCTAAAAGGTCATGTAATTAACGCGATAAGAACGTGGCTTGCTTTGACTGATAAAATCAACTACGCTNAAAAAAAGGATTTGGCCTTAAGAACACAAAACCACAACGAGAACCAGTTACAGCAGAAGAAGAGGAGATACTTTGGTCTAAAGGACTGTTAGGGGGTAATTGTGCTACTAGTTTATTGCACACTATTTATTTCTATAATGGAAAATTATTTGGTCTAAGGGCGAAAGACCATCGCAATTTGCGAATAGCTAATTTCAGGATTACTGATAACATAATCACTTTTGACGAAAGTTTTAGCAAAACGTTTCACGGTGGCCTCAAAGATCTAAAAAATACACCAAGAGTATCCACTCATTTTTGCCACGATTCAGGTAAAGAGCATCCCAGGTGCTTAGTACAATTGTATAAGTTGTATCTTGAAAAAATCAAAATTTTTGATTCAGTAGTACAGGATAAGGCTTTCTATTTCTATCCAAATCGCGATTTCAGTAAGTTTGAATTTGAGCAAAGACCTCTAGGTGAAAATAAGTTAAATGGTATTCTACCAGATGAGCTTTGTGCTAAGGCCGGCCTGCCAAGGAAGACAGCACATTCATTAAGGATAACCACTGCAACTAGGCTTTTTCAAAGTGGTATTGAAGAGAAGCTTATTAGAGATCGAACGGGTCACAAATCAGATTCACTTTTCAAATATGAAAGAGTCTCAAATCAACAGTTAAAGCAAGCGAGTTCAATTTTAGGTCCTTGTAATTCCGAGGCTAACGATAGTACAAATTACCCTTCATTTGAGTTCAATCTGTTTGATACCTTAGGGGATAATGTTTTTGATAATGTAATTTCTGATGAAACATTATGCAGCATTAATTTATCTGATGATGATTTGATGTTTAATGAAGATGTGGCAGATGAAATATTAGCAGGCATAGATTACGAGAGTGCCACTACCAGTGTAACTCGGCCTACACCAAAAGTTAGTGAAGCTTGTACAGCTAGTCCACCTAAATTAGTGTTTAGTAACTGCACTTTCACCAATGTAACGTTTACTAATTCAAAATGATTGAACAGTTAAGTAATAACACAGATGTATTTATCTAGCTTAAAGGTAAAACTTGAAAATTAAAGACTATATGTTGCTTTGGCGTCTTGCATTTGATCTTGATAAAGCATTAATGAATAAAATATTAGTCCTTTATCGTAAATTGATAAAGGACTAATGTTTTATTCATTAATGCTTTATCAGCCCCGCACTCCCCTGAAAATATTCAATGCCGCCCCCGACTTTTAGAATGTTGCGCTTTTCTCTACTACTAAAAATGTCGTCACGTGGTCGTATAATAGCATATCATTGGCTTACAATCCTATGAATTATTAATGAGTTTGATAAGGTAAATTTAAAGTCGGACTGCCTTCGGCTAGTCCGACTAATTAGTCGGATCGGCGAGTCTTCCTCATGCTTCCGTTGTAAGTCTGCACAACATATGACAACGAGTCAAATTATAATTATACACAAAATAGTAAATTTCAGCACTTTGATAGCTTATCTCAAGATCCAAAGGGCATATTCACAACCATTTGCTTGAAATCTTAAGTTCTTAAATGGTCAAATTCG